CATGAATCTTTTTATATATATATATATATATATATATATATATATATATATATATTAAGGTTGTAATTATACAACGTGAAACTAGAAAATATAAAGAAAGGTTTATTTATGTATATTGCTTGGAATCGTGACCTGAAAGCTTATGACTTCCCCGATTAGTGTTTGGAGTTAGGCCCATTAAAGTTAGCCCATTTTGTAGGGCTACTTTTGGTTTCACTATAATTTAATACTTTTGGGCCTATTTCTATCCAAAATTTAAAGCTACTCCCGATCCTTGTCATTTAAAATGGAAGTATCTAAGCCGTCGATAAGATGATAAATCGACGGATGAGATTGACTCTAGTCTTAGTTTGACAAGGATCCGTGTGCGTTTCTATAAAGCGTCAAGTTTCCGATCAGAAATTCATTCACCGGCCGAGAACTCTAAATAGAATAAAAAATCGAGACATTTCGTTTGCTTTCCGGGAAAATCGTAAGGATTCAGGGAAAATGTCGGGAAGAGGGAAGGGAGGGAAGGGCTTGGGGAAAGGAGGAGCGAAGAGGCACAGGAAAGTACTGAGGGATAACATCCAAGGAATCACCAAGCCGGCGATTAGGCGTCTGGCTCGAAGAGGAGGGGTGAAGCGTATAAGCGGTTTGATCTACGAAGAGACAAGAGGAGTGCTCAAGATCTTCTTGGAGAACGTCATCAGAGACGCGGTCACGTACACGGAGCACGCCAGGAGAAAGACGGTGACCGCCATGGATGTCGTCTATGCTTTGAAGAGGCAAGGACGAACTCTCTACGGGTTCGGTGGTTAGGGTTTTTTCTTTTGCTTTCTTAAGGCGTTGTTATTCCTATCTGTAGATCTGGGTATTGTGTTTAGCATTGCTTTCTTAAGGATTCATGCACGGAGTTACTGTTGGAATCCTGTATTGGATTCACTGAGAAAATGTCGCGAATTAGAGCCATTTCTCTCTTTTAATTTCGATTCTGTAGTGAACACGATTGATCTGGGTTTGTAGTCCTGCTCCATCGTCTGTTTCTGAATCCGGAGAACTCTGATATCTGCCCGGTGTAGGAATATGGCCATGGATTTCACAGAATTACGAGTCGGATCCATACCCAAACCCTATGACAAACATCGTTCTTGACCCCACCAAATCTCGGCATGTCTTCTTCGATCTCCACATTCACTTCTTTCCTTTTTCATCCCCGGAAGATCTGCCTTGCACACGTGAGCCTCCCGCGTCTCCTTCCAGTCCACACGTGCGGTCACCACCGCTGAATTTTCCGTGGAAAGTGACGGCGACGGGACGGGAAAGGAAAATCCTTGTAAGGGATCCCAGAGTGGAGAGAAAAAGGGTCGGAAACGCTGTTGTTTCTGTTGCTGAAGATGCTCAGAAAACAAGTCGTGAAACAAAGATGAGATCTCTGTCTGAACGCTTTTGAGATTGTTGTCTCAAGTCTGATCCGTCTGGAACTTTCTTTATGTGTGTCTTCTCTTTGATATGGTAATGGATGTGAGTAAACTTGAGCTCATACAAATACTGTAATAAACTGCGTTTTATCAGTTCAATCAGCACAGAAAAGCTTTCCAAGAATAAGGAAACATTCGATTCTGTCCTATTGAGTAGATTCTCTGAATACATTATGAAAACAGAGCATAAAGATTCATGAGTTCTAATGCCGTTGCCCTAGGCCGATGGTGCTTTGAATCTCTCGCGAATGATAATCATATGTTGAACATGTTTCTCCTTGGGGGGAACACACTCCTTCACGGCCTCTATCTCGTTCAGGTTTCCCACCCACCTGTGAATTTCCGTAAACTTCTCTTCCGGAATCATGTCGATCCCCATTCCTTCCCACCCTCTCGTCAGACAGAACGGGATCATCGAACCCGCAACCACATCCACGAACCCGGGTTTCTTGCCCCCGAAGAAATCTTTTCCGATTAGTTCCTTCTCAAGAAACATCATCAGCCGTTGTGTTTCTTCGATGACAGCTTCTCTTCCCTTGTCTGCTCTTATCAGCGATTTGAATCCCACTGAAAAAATCTACAGACAGAGATGCAACTGCTGTTTCTTAAAAAGTGGGAGTCACACTAAAGTGTAACTTAACTCCAAGTTATCGATCATAAACTCGTTTTAGTTCAAGCAATGAACTCCAAGATTCATTTCCTCAGAATATATAGAATAGATTACCTGATCATCCACGAACTTGGCCCAGAAGCGAGCGATGGCTCTCTCGTAAGGATCTTGAGGGAGAATGGGATTCTGAGTCCATGTCTCGTCGATGTATTCGAGGATGAGGAGCGACTCGTTGATCGTTTTGCCGTTGTGGACGAGAACAGGAATAGTCTTGTGGATTGGGTTCAGCTGTAGGAGCAGAGGGCTCTTGTTGAACACGTCTTCCTCCAAGTACTCGTACGGAACGCCTTTCAGCTTGAGCGCCATCTCGATCCGACGGCTGTAAGGGCTCGCCCAATACCCCAGCAGCTTCACCTCCTCCGCCATTGGATCTGCTCTCTCTCTCTCTCCCTCCCTCTTGTATACTGATTTATAGATAAACAGCAACCATGTTAGGTCAAAAAAGAGATCTTCTAAGATACGGTCTGGAGTGGACATTTATTGTCGTTGTCGGTAGAGCATGTGGACAACGGACAATAAATGTGAGATGAATTACATTTTTGGCCTTTACTCCTAATCTTTTATTATTGTTATACCAAAAGAAAGTACGGTGAGATGAGTCGAGGTAAAATTTATTATCGTTTTATTTTTATTACAATTTTGGGCAAGTGAATATTTGTAAATTATGACAAAATGAATGGTATAATTACATTTTATTAAAGAAAATGTACAACTTATATTTCTTTTGGAATTTAAGAATTCTTGCACTCACATGACATACAGGACAATATATACCGTAACTTTTTTTATTTGTTATTTATTCTTAAATATGTTATTTATTGGATATGTTATTGATAAAATATTTCTTTCAAAAATATTTTAATTGGTTAATTTGTTTTAAATTTAATATAATTCATTTATCATTAAAAAATATTAAGATTATTATTTTTTGACCTCCAAATATATATCCAAATATATTTTTTTCTAGCACGAAAAACAACTTTAGAACCTTCGAGATGAGACAGAGTGTGTGCTTTGGGCTTTGCAAAGCCCATGAAACCATAGTATTACGCCACGTGCGGATTGCGATATTTCAGGACAAAAACTTACAAACTCTTATTAAACCATACATTCACTTTCTCAACACGACACGCATCACGAACACTGAACTTCTCAGAAACCACATACCATGCCATAAACAAGAACACGCCTCAGAATCACACACACACAGATAGAGCTTTCGATTGTGATAATCACAGATTCTTACGAGCTTAGCCGGAGATCTCGATGGATTTCACGTCAGGCTTCCTGGCCTCGACCTTTGGAACGGTCACGGTCAGCACGCCATTCTCCATGGAAGCCTTGACCTGATCCATCTTCGCATTCTCCGGCAGCCTAAATCTCCTGGAGAATTTCCCGCTCGATCTCTCCACCCTGTGCCACGTTTCGTTCTTGTCCTCCTCCTCCACGTGCCTCTCCCCGCTTATCTTCAGCACACTATCGTCCTCTATCTCCACCTTCACCTCCTCCTTCCTCATCCCCGGAAGGTCCGCCTTGAACACGTGCGCCTCCGGCGTCTCCCTCCAGTCCACGCGCGCGTTCACTATCGCCGCGTTTTCCGACGAGAGTGACGACGACGGGAAGCGGAGTTCCCTGAAGGGATCCCGTACATCGAGCGAGAAAGGATCGAAGATGCTGCTGCTGCTGCTCCTGTTGCCGAAGAAGCTCGGAATCAGCGACATTTTCTGGCGGGAAACGCGTTTGGTTGCAGAGAAAATTGCTTCGGAGACTGCGAATTCAACGAATTTCTCGAGAGCTGCTTGCGATCAGAAAACGGGGGAGGGTGTATGTATTTATCGGTTGCAAAAGAGAATTCCAGAACTTCTGGATTCATATGTTTGAAAAATCTAGAAACCTCGCGAATCAGGTGAATCCAGAGAATTCCAGGTAATTGTTGTTTGGGTTTTAAGGCCCATTAAGCCTATAAAGCCCTATATTCCAATTATGGGCTTATAATTTGTCTTCGTTGGCCCAACAAAATTACACCGTCCGATCAAACTAAGCTGGCCTAACTCATCCAACGGTTCTTATTGCTCTGTTGACGAAGTCCCCGCGCCCGCCCATTATGGAATGAAGACCGTACGATTCTCCTCACCGCCTTTTCATTTTCTTGAATCGGACGGTCGAAATTACTGTTTTTTTAATCTAAAATATAATATTTGGCTAAAAATGAATTATTTCGATTTTGAGAATTAATAAACGGTTATTTGGTTTGATTATATTTAAATTAAATTAAAATCAAAGAGTAACTAAATATAAATTCGATTCGATTATAATTACAGATGAATTAAATTTCAAAAAATTGTTGGAAAAAAAATTGTAAAACGTTTCATTTTAATTGTATACCATAATTATAAAACTACATCAACAACCCCATCCCATTATGTTAAATTTATCTACTTAGATATGATATATATATATATATATATATTGTATCATCTCTTAATCGCCATTGCAAGGTAGGAGGGTTATAGGTATGTAGATAGTCATACACTCTTACCGTGACAGAAAATTTTCCAGACTCTTACAGGACCCCATGTTTTCTGTATCTCTTACTGTGTAAAATACACAACAATTCCATGATCGTGTACCAGAATTTTGTTATCCCACCTCATCAAAATCATGGGTTATGATTAGAAAGAGAATTCCGAGATTCTCTAACAAAAATGATGCAACTTTCTCGGCAAGAAACCAAGATTCTGAGATTCTCTAACAAAAATGACCACTCTAAGACAAGACCGTAATTTCAGAAACATTAACGTTACTTCCCAGTCTTGAAAACAATGAAGAGATGGAAAGATTAAGGTCACTTTTCCTCCTGCAACCTTAATAAAACATCGATTCAGCTTTTAAATTCTAAGGCTTTTCAATAATTATTCAAAATCTAAATGTTGATCAGTTAGCAGTTAATCTCAATCCAAACCCGCTTGCATTTTGTCACGTTAAATAATTGGGAGAAGAGAAAATGCATCTAATTTAGATATATAGGAACTAATAACAGAACCTATGGTTACAAAAAAAAACACAAAAAACTTTTAAGTACTGTTCCATGGTTCTTACAGCCCCGAGAATTTTCAATAGTAATCAATCAACTGGGAGTTGTTGAGGTTTCAGAGATGGTCCGATTTCTCTTAGTAACCCTCTTCTTGCTCGTACTCAGCCTCGTCTTCGTATTCCCCTTCTTCATCGGCCGTGGCATCCTGGTACTGCTGATACTCCGAGACCAGATCGTTCATGTTACTCTCCGCCTCTGTGAACTCCATCTCGTCCATTCCCTCACCAGTGTACCAATGCAAGAACGCCTTCCTCCTGAACATAGCCGTGAACTGCTCGCTTACCCGCCTGAACATCTCCTGAATCGAGGTCGAGTTGCCGATGAATGTCGAAGCCATCTTCAACCCTGTCGGGGGAATGTCACAGACGGTGGACTTCACGTTGTTTGGGATCCATTCCACAAAGTAGGACGAGTTCTTGTTCTGCACATTCAGCATCTGTTCATCTACTTCCTTAGTGCTCATCTTCCCTCGGAACATAGCTGAGGCAGTGAGGTAGCGGCCGTGTCTTGGGTCAGCTGCACACATCATGTTCTTGGCATCCCACATTTGCTGGGTCAGTTCTGGGACTGTGAGGGCACGGTATTGCTGAGACCCACGGGACGTGAGAGGGGCGAAACCCACCATGAAGAAGTGAAGACGAGGGAAAGGGATAAGGTTCACGGCAAGTTTGCGGAGATCAGAGTTGAGCTGACCAGGGAACCTAAGGCAGCATGTGACACCCGACATGGTTGCAGAGATCAAGTGGTTCAGATCACCGACTGCAAATGTAATATCCAATTTTGTGAGTGAATTTCACTGAACACAGCTTGGATTTACCGAGAAACGTTGTTGAATATATCAAACACACTTGAAATATCACAAGAACCTAGTATCACCATAACTACATAGGAAACATATGTTGAACCCAGAATATCCTATCACAGAACAATATCATTAGTATAGCAATATATGAGAGGAGAAAGAACACTTACAACTGGGAGTGGTAAGCTTGAGGGTACGGAAACAAATGTCATACAAGGCCTCGTTATCAAGGACCATGCATTCATCTGCGTTTTCAACGAGTTGGTGAACAGACAACGTTGCATTGTATGGTTCCACAACAGTGTCAGATACCTTAGGGGACGGGAAGACAGAGAAGGTCAACATCATGCGGTCCGGATACTCTTCCCTGATCTTTGAGATCAACAGAGTCCCCATACCAGAACCGGTTCCTCCACCCAAGGAGTGGCAGACCTGAAACCCTGCACTCCCACCAAGAGTTTATCAGAAATCAGGCAATATCCAGACAGAAAAATTCCAATCAAACATAACATCCCTAGTCTGACATCAGAATCCTGCACTCCCACCAAGAGTTTATGAGAAATCAGGCAATATCCAGATAGACAAAAATTCCAATGAAACATAATATCCCTAGTCTGACATCAGAATCCTTAAATTATATAGTTAGAGACTGGAATTGGCTTCGGCGCCGACTTTTGCCAAATCACAAGAAACCAAAAGATAACGCCAAGGGTTTGATAAGCTCGCCCAAATAAAAGCAACATATACAGGGAACCTCATTCCTTCAAATCAAATCATCAAGGACGGAATAAGGGAGAAGTATCACCTTGAAGGCAGTCACAGTTTTCCGCCTCTTTGCGGACAACGTCAAGGACGGAATCGATGAGCTCAGCACCCTCCGTGTAGTGTCCCTTGGCCCAGTTGTTTCCGGCACCGGACTGGCCAAATACAAAGTTGTCGGGACGGAAGATCTGACCATAGGGACCAGATCTAACACTGTCCATAGTTCCAGGCTCCAAGTCCATGAGAACAGCGCGAGGGACTAAACGCCCGCAACTCGCCTCGTTGTAGTAGACATTGACCCTCTCGAGTTGCAGATCTGAATCGCCCTGGTAACGGCCCGTTGGATCGATGCCGTGCTCAGCGCAAACCACTTCCCAGAACTTAGCACCGATCTGGTTGCCGCACTGTCCTCCCTGGATATGAAGAATCTCACGCATCTTTGCTCACCGACAAAACCCTAGAAATGGATCTGAGACAAAGAGCAAGAAAAGAGAGAGGGGAAAGCGAAGAACAGCGTGACGTTTAGGAGAGAGAAGAGAGAGAAGGGAGGGTTCATTTATAGGGAAAAGAGGTTTTAACGGCTAATATCTGGCGATTCCAAATTCAGAAAACAATAAATCAACGGCGGAGAAGGTGCCACGTAAATCGAGGTGGCAACGGGTGGCTAATTCAAAAAAATGGCTCGTGGAGAAAATTCAAAAGTTTTTGAATTTCGAAAAGCCATTTATTACAGCTGGATTCAACTGAGGAGCAGTTATCGAAACGACGCCGTATACACGTCACACCCATCTTTTATGGGGCCAAGATGGGCCCAAAATGCAAGGTCTTCTCGGGCCCAACTTTATGCCATTTAATTTAAACTAAATTGCGTGAGAAAAGGACCGTAGATTTAGATTTTATTATTCCAATTCTTTATTTTTATTTATAAAAATTATATATGTTCTGTTTTAATATTTAAACTCTTTATTTTTTAAAATATGTTTTCATTCGATTTTTATTCTTATTTTCGTGTTCTATTCTAAATTGTTTGATTTAATTTAAAAAAGTCTTGGTCGTACTCTTCCAATTTTTTTTTTTTATCAAATTTGTTTTGCATATAAATGTTTAGAATTCGATTTTATAAATCAAACGGAAAATATCCATCCTATCTTATGATGCATCTTTCTGTCTTCCTCCTCCCGGCTTCGCCAACTTTGGAAACAAAAGAGTGTCTGATGCGACAAAAATTTTCCCCACGTGGCCGCCTTTTTATACTTACAACAAATAATTGGATAAAGCATATAATAAAATAAAATCACTGATTTAATAATATTCACAAGCTAATCCCAAATTCAACAATTTGAACCGAATAAAAAAAACAAACAACCACTATTCGTTTTGGTTTAAAAAAAAAATTAATTCGATTTGCTTTTGCTAAACCGTAACCGAACCGAAATGGCGAACCAAACCGGTGAATAAAAAGTCAGCAAGAAAACAAAATATCCTTGCGTAAAGCCTTTACATTGGCCGTCTTTTTTCTCTCACCAAATTCCTTGCTTTTGCCGGACTCTCTCTCTCTCTTTGAATTTCCAGGAATCGCGTCCTGAGATCAGGTAATCCATGAACTGTTCTTCAGTCATGCACACTGCTATTAGGCTGCTTTTGATTTGAGCCTTGTTGATTTCGTGGTCTTACTATTTTCTCTCAGTTTATCGGAAGACTAATCGTTGTTCCCGAATCTCGCGTCTGGACAAGGTATCCTCTGACGTCTCTTCGCCTGTCTCATGCTTTGTCATCGGCTGCTTGCTTTCAGTCTTTTTGTCGGTGAGAGAGTTTGGGCCAAAATCCTGTCCGAGAACAATATCGCAGAATCGGGTTATTTTTCGTTGATTGATTGCCTTTCGCCCGATGATATAATTAAGCATCAGGAAAACTATGGATTTTCTTGTGGGGGCACAACTAAGATGTTTTTTTTTTGTGTTTCTTACTTACTTAGTCAGCACATTTTGTTGTCTGAATGATCACGTTTCTGATTTCATTTATTTATTTAGATGTCTAATCCCTACAAGCTTTCATCTTTTGAAGGGAAATGAGAACTGGTTGAGATATTGGTGGAGAAGAATTTGTGTTCATCATGGAGCTCTTTTCATCTTTAGTTACTTTATGGAGAACCCCTGTTTGTTTACTCTCAATGCTCTTGCTGCTCAGTAGCAATGGAGTTGTATCGAGTTCTGAATATTTGATTGGGCTGGGAAGCTATGACATCACTGGCCCAGCGGCTGACGTAAATATGATGGGATATGCTAACATGGAGCAACGAGCATCTGGTATTCACTTCAGGCTCCGAGCTCGCACATTCATTGTAGCAGAGCCGGAGGGGAAGCGGGTTGTTTTTGTTAATCTAGATGCTTGCATGGCCTCACAGATCGTTACACTTAAAGTAATCCAAAGGCTAAGGGCAAGGTAGTCACCGAATTCTGTCCTTTTTCCACTCGACCTTTAGTTTTCTATACCCCCATAGTAGTTTAAGGCTGAACTCTTTCAGAACATATCAACGTTTCTATGTCTAGGTTCTGCAAATCTGACCGATATTGTATTATTTTGAACTGTTGCGGTCTTTTACTGATGATGAGGATGGAATAATTACACTGTTAGTTTCACAGGTATGGCGATCTATACTCGGAGAAGAATGTTGCCATAAGCGGTATTCACACCCACGCTGGTCCAGGGGGTTACCTTCAGTATGTTGTGTATATAGTTACATCTCTTGGATTTGTCCGGCAGTCGTTCGATGCCCTTGTGGATGGCATTGAGAACAGCATCATACAAGCTCATGAAAACCTCCGTCCTGGATCAATTCTTGTCAATAAAGGTATGACCAGGGAGCCATTTTCTAACATTCTGGTACAGAGTACGCATCCGGGTTGTACAGGATTATGTATACTGTGCGGGGTTGGAAATAACCCTCAGTGGCAAAAAACCTTCTTTCCCTTTATGTTGATAGAAGGCTAATTATTGAACTTTCTTTCTGTGATTCCTAAAAGGGTGATTAAACTTAACTTACAGGTGAATTGTTGGATGCTGGTGTCAACCGCAGCCCAAGTGCACACCTTAATAATCCTGCTG